ATAAGTGTAAAATATTTAAGGAGGTGATTCCTCATCGAAAAAAAGATAGGATCTTTCATATAAAGAAATTTCATTGGAGGATCCCTTGTTAAGATACAGCTTCTTAAAGGGGGTACATAAAATTTGGACAGGACAGTATCTGAACCAGAAATCCAACCACCATCAGTCGACTAGAAGAGGAATCATCAAGGCTCTAAGTCCGAACTGTTGAAATAATAAAAGCGTGTTAAAAAATGAGGCAGCAGGCGCGCGTGTTAATAAAAAAAATATTTTTTTCAAATTAAGAAATTCATGTAAAGTGAGTTTGAATAATGTCAAGGAGATTACCCACAGCGCCATCTGCCCGCGAATAGATCAAGCAATAATGTCGATATATCAAGGAGATTACGTACAGCGCCATCTGCCCGCGAATAGATCAAGCATCACTGTCGATAATTCTGTCAAATACAGATCCCCAGTTTGAGAGTAGCAAACATAAATACATACAGGTGAACCTAATAAAGCGTGTTAATAAAAATAATGCCGTCCTGTTTATTCATCTCTAGGTTTATGAACTTTTGTTCCGTTTCTTGCGCACACCATTACTTGTTAGCCCACCCCCGTATTATGACGGAGTGATAAGCGTGTGCCTCCAAGGTTCGCGTTACATTATCGGTATCGCCGTATCGGTCCACAGGCTGCTGCTGCTACTACTTCCCGGACTCGATCAAGGCCGTCACAATCGGTGCCAGATACGAAACAAGTGAGCAACGTTTTCTGGGTAGCTCGTTCACGTTGTCTTTGACGCGGCAGATGCGATTTGGGTGGTCGAGATCAGTTGACATGTGGCTCCTTGAGAGGGAACGATTAGAAGAGAACAATATAAGAAACTTCGTCAAAAGTTGTTTTTTTAATATAGACCGTAAACGAAATAACCCTCCATTCTCTATTGTTGTGGTAAAGGGATCTTCTCAAGCACTTTCTCGGCAGATCCTTCTCATCCTCGATATCAATGAGACAACTGATCTGCTGTTTGTTGTATGAGCATATACAGGGTGTAACTGAATAGGTGTAGAACATCCTCATCGAAAAAAGATAGGATCTTTCATATAAAGAAACTTCATTGGAGCATTTCTTGTTAAGATACAGCCCCTTAAAGGGGGTACATAAAATTTGTATAACAATTTTTTCACAAGCATTGAAGAAGTTACAATATTGAAATTAACCTGACGTTTTGTACTACCAAAAAGACACTTAGCCAGTAANGGAGCCTCTGGAGACACCCTACATTTTGTTTTATAAGAGAGAGGACATTGTTAGATCAAGATCTTCAGATGATGTGGTGCTGCAGGTTTTTCCGGGTTTTCCTGCAGCTGAAAAAGCAAATGCGCCACTGGAATCAATGAAGTCGCCCCGGAGCGCCAATTAATTTTTATTGTTGTTTTTATTTTATTTTTATCGTTATTATAATAAAATCTAAATAAAATATTGTAAGCTAAGTCTCTCGAAAACGACGTCGATGATGGCTTTTTAATTGTCATATTCAAGCGGATATCGCACTAACGTTAAATGCTCAATGATAGTCTTGAAAAACACGACCCCCCCTCATTAATGTAGAACTGAAAATCCAATTCCATAGTTCAGTGCCCTAAATTTGCGAGGGAAAGTTTTATCCTTACTGCAAACAGAGATAAGATAGTTCAATTTGTTGAAATACCAATATTATCCTTCACTCGGTTTTATCATTTCCCTTGGTAATGTTATCTTGTCAAATATTGATGAACGGATATCTCAACACAGTTTTGACTACCTACTTTTCGGGTCAACTGCAACCAAAGAAAGATCCTGGGAAAAAATTATAACTTTGAACAAAATAACTAAAGGGAAATTGAAAGAGGAAGACATCAGTTTTTGAGCAAGAAACGTTTTTTTTCGACTTTCCATTATATAATAAATGAAAGAGTTACGATACACTTTTTTTACATGGTCTTTACTGAGTCTTTCTTGTTGCCAGATATTTTCGAATTTCAATTAACTACTTTTTTGTTGATTTTATTCGATTAGATAAAGGCGCAGAACTAGAAACTAGTCCACCGTCTGTCCTAGGGTCAGAGGTGAGCGTGTCACTGTTACGTCCAGAGAAATGAATGTGAATCTAACGCGCAATATGTATGATTGCGTAAAAAATGAAATTCGAACATATCGTGTAGTTATAATTATTATTTGTTGATTTCCAATAAACTTGAGTGTCATAATATTTTTATTCTGAGTAGTGGAATTGCTTGGTGGTACCGATTGGCACTTGTTTTTGCAATTCAGTGTTTTTAAAAGATTTTGATGAAAGTTTGTCACACTCGTACACAGGGTGATTCAAAAGTACTTTGACAAACTTCAGGAGGTGATTCCTCACAATATTCTAATATGAATTGTCCAAATAAATAAATGTTAAAATCTAAATAAAATATTGTAAGCTAAGTCTCTCGAAAACGACGTCGATGATGGCTTTTTAATTGTCATATTCAAGCGGATATCTCACTAACATTAAATGCTCAATGATAGTCTTGAAAAACACGCCCCCCCCTCATTAATGTAGAACTGAAAATCCAATTCCATAGTTCAGTGCCCTAAATTTGCGAGGGAAAGTTTTATCCTTACTGCAAACAGAGATAAGATAGTTCAATTTGTTGAAATACCAATATTATCCTTCACTCGGTTTTATCATTTCCCTTGGTAATGTTATCTTGTCAAATATTGATGAACGGATATCTCAACACAGTTTTGACTACCTATCTTTCGGGTCAAATTGCAACCAAAGAAAGATCCTGGGAAAAAATTATAACTTTGAACAAAATAACTAAAGAAAAGTTGAAAGAGGAAGACATCAGTTTTTGAGAAAGAAACGTTTTTTTTTGACTTTCCATTATATATAATATGAAAGAGTTACGATACAATTTTTTTACATGGTCTTTACTGAGTCTTTCTTGTCGCCAGATATTTTCGAATTTCAATTAACTACTTTTTTGTTGATTTTATTCGATTAGATAAAGGCGCAGAACTAGAAACTAGTCCACCGTCTGTCCTAGGGTCAGAGGTGAGCGTGTCACTGTTACGTCCAGAGAAATGAATGTGAGTCTAACGCGCAATATGTATGATTGCGTAAAAAATGAAATTCGAACATATCGTGTAGTTATAATTATTATTTGTTGATTTCCAATAAACTTGAGTGTCATAATATTTTTATTCTGAGTAGTGGAATTGCTTGGTGGTACCGATTGGCACTTGTTTTTGCAATTCAGTGTTTTTAAAAGATTTTGATGAAAGTTTGTCACACTCGTACACAGGGTGATTCAAAAGTACTTTGACAAACTTCAGGAGGTGATTCCTCACAATATTCTAATATGAATTGTCCAAATAAATAAA